CAGGCACCTGACAACATGAAGGGAAAGGCCGCTTGTGCTGGGAACACTATTCCAGCAAGTGAACTTTCTGGACTGCAGATTAAGTGATCTTTCTGGATGCACCTTAATTGCTGTTTTTTTTGAGTGGCAGCAATGGGGGATGGGAACTAACAGCAAATCATTAGGGCAGAGGGACCCCAGGGCGAATGGATGTCTAGCTGAGCTCTCAAAGGCTGTTGCTGAGTAGGAAGGAAGCAAGATGTCTTCTTGCCTTATTGGCATTTTAAGGAGAGAGTGGAGAAGCTGGGAATGACAGAGCATCCTCTTGTGGGATGCATTTGTTTTGTTAGGAATGTCAGCAGTGCATCTTTAGGAATTTGAATCCAAGTTTAATGAACGTCTGATTGCGTTTGCGTATTCTGCAACCAGGGAAGATGTGTCTAGCTGCAATTTTCAGTCTCAGTCATTGAACTAAGATGATGTGACCTCTGTTTCCAAGACTTGAGGACACTTACATGCCCATGACAGAACTGCTATAAAGTCATGCCAGGTAAGAGGTTTATATAGGGCACTGGTTTGTTTTCAGTGTGGTCTCTTGAAAAGAATTGGGCAGTGTCCAGTGCTGACCTCAGTCTTTTTGTGGGCTAAATTAATGTCTTTATTCTGCTTGGCAGTGTGGGCCAAGAAGAATTCTAAAATGAATGCAAGAATTTGTGCTGTGCAAGATGTCTGAAAGTACCCTCAATTGTTTTTGTGTTTCATCAGTGTAGTGTTAAAAATGGGCCTGTGTAACGCAGGGGAGAGTCTGCAAGCCCGTACGGGTTGACAATGTGAATGGTGTAGCAGGAGGGTCTGTGCTGGGGCCCTTTTAAGTGGGAGAATATCCATCTTGCACTGTTGTTGGAAGTAATTATGAATCTGTTTTTATTTGAAGAAAAAAAAAAAGCCCAGTAGATGTCATTTCATCTTTAAAATGTGAAGCTGAGGCGTAAATGAGTGTCCTGCTGATGATGATGCACGGAGGAGTCATGAGCTTTGAAATAGAAACAGACTCAAATTCTGAATGTCACTGTACAAAAAAAGTATGTCGTGCTGGAAGGTGAGTTTTAGACTTGTCTGTTTTTATGATACTGTACTCCTGAAAGAAAAACTGAAAAAACCCTTCCATCCTTTTCGATGTAGGAAGGGGAAAAAGTCCTATCTTCTACTCTGGGCATGTCCAGCCTCAAGTTTGCTGCTTTAACAGGATGAATTATTTTTTGAAAGAAGTAAAATCTGCATTGGGAACTCTCACACCTTCACTCAGAACATGCCTTTTTCCCTCGAGACCAGGCTGGGTCTTGAGGAGACCTCTCGCTTTGACGAGTATTAGGATCGAGTCTGTGCGTGTTGGGCTCTGCCCTCTGCTTTTGTTTTGTTGCTTCTTAACAGGCTTCAGGTCCAGTCTTTTGACTCTCTAAACTCCTCTGTACCTGTAATTTGGGGATGACGATAGCTTACTCAGTGGTGATGTTTAAAGGATGATGAAGCCTCAGTGGTGAAGCCATCGAGGGACTAGTGACAGCGCAGCTCTGCATCTGTCATGGCTTATTAATACAGGGTGGTGACCTGCCAGTGGGGGAGTTGCCCACAACCATGGTGGCCTGGCATAGTAGGAAGCTCAAAGCAAGCAGAGCAGAAACAATGGCTCAAATAAACACTTGCAGATGGTTGTAGGGCAGGGGAAGAGCTTCAGGCTCTGAGGTGTCTTGCTGGACTTCCCAGAGAGCTGCTCAGCTAGCGATGGGCAAGAAGGCCAAGATGCGAGTGTTTTCAGAAGAGACCAGTAGAGCCTCGTGTATGGGAGGTGGGAGTTGATGGGAGCTGCTCAGAGAAGGCAAATCCACTCATCTGATCCTCGAGGGTGTCTTGAAAAACATGGACTGCCTTGGCTATAGGCGAGGGAGCAGATTGTTTGCCTAAGCTCCCCTTCTCCAGATGCTTTTTATTGCTACTGGATGGAATTAAATAGGTGGGAATGAAGCTGATTCTTATGCGTGTTCCCTGTTCATTGCAGATTCCCACAGGGCAGTTTTAGTCTCTGTGGTGGGTAAATAGGGCTGACCCTCTGAGTCCTGCAGCTGCCGGCCCTGTCTGAGCACCAGAGGAACGGGACTGCGTGCCAGGGGAGGTAAAAGCACAAGGTCTGGCACCGGAGGAGCTCGCTCGGAGGGGGCGGAGGCAGGAAGGATGTAAGTGTGTATTTAGGCTCGCTTCAAGGAAAGCTGCAAAGAGGCATTGGCATTTATAGACAGGAGTCAACATGTAGATTTTTATTTTTTTTTTCCTGGTTAAAAAGACCACGTTCAGTCTGAGTAAAAATTGGCCTTTCCTTACAGTTACTCAGCTTCAGTCCTCCTTGTCGTGACGCCGGCTGTGCAGCTGCCGTGGCCTCCTGCAGCAGACAAACGTGAACCCTAGGTTTAGGGAAACCATAGGAAATGCTCACTTCCACCCTTTCTCTTTTTCGTGAGGCAGCCTTTTTTTATAGCCATTGTGAATGCGTCCAAAAGCAGCAAAGGGCTTGGAAGGCTGCTCCGCGTTTCTTCTTCCTCTTGCAGGTCAGCTTCAGCTTCTCCCCAGGTTCCCCTCCAGTAAGCGGACATTACTGATACTTACACAAGGAGTCCAGAAGTCAACAGATGGAAATTACTGGAGTGGAGAGAAACAGTAGCCTTTTTGATTTTTCTTTGTTTCAGAGCTTGGTAGATGTGAGCTTTGCCTCTTGCACAGTGCTGTGAGACCACATGGAGAACCTTCCTATGGAGGAGAACTTCAACACCAGGGGAGGTTCCTGCCTGGGTCCCTGCACCACTCAGTTTAATGGGACGTGCTGGCTTTTGGCAGGTTTCTCTCCACGCCACTGTCTCTCATTAGGTGGGACGTTTTTAGGCACTGGATTGAATTTACTTCCATCCTGTGCAGACCTGGTGGTGGTCTGTTTTTTACACACTACAATTTACAGAGCTGGTGCCAAGCTACTAAATTATTAAGCCAGGGTTTTAATAGAATCTCCTGTGTAGGCTTAAATTGTTTCCACTCTATTTGGAGTTTCCTGCTCTGCTGGTTTTTATTTTGTCCTGTGCATTGAAAGTGTGGAGGGAGGAATTCACGGGAAGGCACAGAGGAAGAATTTGGCCTGAGAGCACTAGAAAGTACAGATGAAATAAAAGGTTAATTGGTACTGTATCGAGCTCTGATGGAGGTGATGGGGAGAAAAAAGTGCTTCCTAATCCCCATGACAGTTCAGCGGAAACTTGTGTGTTTGTTTTTCAATGCTGTTGGTAACTTAGGTTTCTGAATAAAATATTTTCTTGTCCAACTATTTTTATCTTGACCCCTTCCCCAGGGCTTGAAAAGGACGTTTGTCCTTGTCAGCAAGCCCAGCTCCCCTAGTTTTTCCCCCAGTGTCAAACCCTGCTGCTGCCAGTGGGACGGCAGTGCTCCGTCAGGTGGGACCCCGGTGGAGGATGCCCCTTCCAGCTTTGCGCCATTTCCACCCAATCCTCCCCTTGCTGCAGGCTGTCCCCTACAGCCCCGCACCACTGCATGCCAGGTCAGGATTATACTTGGCAATTAAGTGCTATGTAAGTCAGATATGGTAAGTGGGGTTTGTTTTTTAGCAGTGCACTGATAAATTTGTGCTGTCCCTGGTGGCAGGTATGATTGCTGTCCTCCACCGAATGGGTTGACTCTGTCGCATGGTTAAAACGAGGGATGCTGTTTGAACTGGGGACTCCTGGTAGAGCAGGAGTCCTCCACAGTGATTCCCTGGGGCTGCTTCACTGTGAGCAGTGAGGTCCTTCCTCTGGGGATACTTAGATGGGAGAGGTTTGGAAAAACAGTGGTAAGAGGCAGCAGTGGGCTAAAACTGGTCATCATCTGTCTACTCCTGCCCTTCACTCAGCAGCCACCATGGGCATGTCGCAAGTCCCAAGCGAGGGGACTGCTTTCCATGAGGACAGAGCGTGGTTGCAGGATGTGCACCCACTGCTCAGACATACCAGTTTGAAGAGCCAGTGTGGTGGAGCGATGGGTTGTCGAGCACAGCTACAGCAAGCTGAAGCAACCACGTTTCAGGTGTGCAGTTGAGGGCTTGGAGCAGATCTGTTGCCCAGCTCTCTGAATATATGGTACGTCTTACAATGTGAAAAACAGCTTAAACCGTCTGACTCGGCTCATGTGTGTATGGTACCAGCACCGGTTGGCTGAGCCCCGCCTGGAGTTCGCAGGTCTGGCTGCAGAGAAAGTTGGGCTGGGAATTATAAAGGCTACCTTAGTCACTCCGTGGCAGGAATAGCACTGCGGTTCCTGTCATTGTCATCGTGCTCAGGCCATGTTTGGGTACTTACTGTGTTTAATTGCATGGCTGATTTACTTAATGTCTCTCCTGGGGTCACTCATAACACATTTATTTTTAGGGTTCGGGGAAATTAGGGACACTAGCAATCCATTGTGGTTCTCTCTCAAGGCAGGAGTTTTCCAGACGACGATGGTAATAGCAGTCATGGCTTAGTTCCAGAGTAACCTGGCTAAGCTGATGAAATTAGTGCTGGCAAGCACGCTAGAGCTTAATGCTTGCAAATGAACAATCTCCACTGAAAATATACTATACGTGTAGGCGGAGGCCATGATTTCCCAGGGTTTGGATAACTTGGGAGATATGCATATGGTTTATTGGGAAATCCCTGGCAGCACTTGTTGGCTGCCTACCTTGTAAGTAAAGAATTTTCTGATCAAATACTCAGTGTTCGGGTGTAGAACTGAGGTGGTCATGTTTTCTCTCTGGTGTACAGCTATGAATCATCCCGTTTCATGACAAGCCGGTCATGTACTACAGAGGAGCTCCTTTGTACCTAGCTGGTAGCTCCAGTGGGGTGTCTAACATGCTTCTCCGTTGCTTTTAGGAAGGATAGTGTGCTGAAAGGCCTGCGGTAACGGTTGGCCTAATGCGCCTCGCTCTGCTTCTTGTTTTTAAACAGATGGACCTGTCTGTGGAAACTCTTTATAGCTTCATGCAGGAGCGCCAGAAGAAGTATGCCAAGTATGCGGAGCAGATCCAGAAGGTCAACGAGATGTCTGCCATCCTCCGCCGTATACAGATGGGCATCGACCAGACGATCCCGCTGATGGAGCGGCTGAACAGCATGCTGCCGGAGAGCGAGAGGCTGGAACCCTTCAGCATGAAACCCGACCGGGAGCTAAAGTCGTAGCTGATCCAACAGGCTCCCTCTCCTCACCTTCCCGCTCCAGCGTTCAGCACAGACACGCTTCCAACAGGCCAGACTGGCAGATGTTTGAAGCGGACAGCAGTGCTGCCTGACTCTCGGCCAGGGCATCGGAGGAACAGCAGCGTCAGCTGCCAGAACTGCGCAGCCAGGAATCCAGGAGCATCCTGGTCCTGTTGTCTGGAGAAGATGATTTACCATTCTTTCATCTCCCTCCT